AAAAAAATTCTCATAGTACATGTGAGTTTGAAAAAAATCATGGAATAAAGGTGACTCCAAGCTTCTTGGTCAAAGCAACTAGAAGTGTGTAACTGCAGCTAAATAGAAAAGATGCAGAAGTTTGGGAGGGAGGGATCAGAATTGATTTTTTTCAGAGCCTCCATCTGAAATATTTTCTAGATGCCCAAGAAGATTTATTGATTACACAAGTGGACACTGCTTGTGGAGTGCAGAGGGGATGTGTGGGCTAAAATTGTGAGTTTAGGAGTCATGAGAGTACTGACAAAATGTCATGAGATTGGATGAGATTAGTGAGGCAGGGATTACAAAGAAGGGGAGATGACTAAGACCCCTTTCATGAGCCATTAGAGAAAATGACTAAGCAGAATGGGAAGAAATGGAGGGTGAGATTGGGTTGAAAAGCTGGAGTGTTGTTGTGGAAGGCTTGTGAGCATTTTAAATGCTCAAAGCAGGTCAAGTGAAACAAGCACCGAAGGTCAGTATTTGGTTTTAGCAATGAACAAGAAGAATGTATTTGGGTTGTGATTACAAAAACCTGATTAAAGCAGATTTAAGAAAAATTGAGAGGAGTGACAGACAAAATGAGCAGCTATGCTCTTCAGATAGGGCTCTATAGATACACTGACAGTTACTACCTGACTTTTTAGAAAAAGTGATTTTATTTATTCCCCCCCCCCCAGAACTTATCTACATATCTTGGTAAACATTCCTATTTGGTCTCCTATTTTTTAAAATTTATTGTCTGTATTGAAATATTTATACTGAAGAATGTGGGAATCATTCAGTTGCTTGCCAAAAACAAGAGAGACTGGTGTTGTGGTGCAGCAGGGTGAACTGTAGCTTAGGACACCTACATCCCATATCAGAGCATAGGTTTCAGTCCCAGCTACATGATTTCTATCCACTTCTCTGTCAATGTGCCTGCAAAGGCAGAGAAAGATGGCCCAGGTACAAGACTTCCTATTACCTCCATGGGAGATTTTTATACTCCTAGCTTTGGGCTGGCCCACACCTGACTGTTGCAGCCATTTGGGGAGTGAACCAGTGGATGGAAGATCTCTGTCTCTGCCTCTGCCTCTCTTTATCTCTGACTTTAAAATAAAAAATAAATAAATTGCAGCTCAACGTATAAAAAATAGAAAACCCAATAAATGAAGTTATTTCTTTAAATAAAAAAACAAAATAGGCCATATTTTTGCAAACTATTGTTAGTATAATAATGAGGAAAAGAAGATTGGATGAGAGTTTTAATATATAGGTCAAATAAAGAGCAAAGTAGAAGCATTAATTTGTTTTAAACTGCACTGAAACATAAGTATTTATGTTAGTATCTGTTCTTCTGTTAACTTCTCCCATTAATATTTGGATCTCTATTTGCATTCTACACATTTGAGATACATTTTTTGAATTTCCTTATGTAACTTGTTATAACTCAGCGGGCCTGAGTCTGGGCCCAAGGTCTGTCTGTTACTAACATGCTGTGTGGCCTGTTGAGTAATAGTAAGGTCTTTTTTTCCATCAGCATAGACATATAGATTTTCACATCTAGAAAGGCAATATAGAATAGAATGCTAAAAGATATCTGGATAGCGATAGCAATCTGAAGCATCTCAAACTAAAACATTGGTTATTGTTAAATAATACTAATGTAAGGATAATCACAAGCAAAGCTTTTTTACTTATATTCATTATTGATATTATTTATAATGTTATGGAAAGATAAGAATTATTTCCATAGATCTAATTTGAGATTTATTTCCTCTTGTTCGTTGAATAATTACATATCCATCATTAATAATGTATGTTTTTACTGGCTTCACAGCTGGCAGTAAAAATTAATGTTTTATTATCTGAATATATAAGCTCCATTCATTATTATGGAATTTTGCTTTTTTAATAAAAAAAACTCTGCATCATCTATAAATCATGTTTGTGTGTTAGGTGGAAGGGACAGATTACAGAATTTACGACTTTGCATAGCATTATTAGTATGTCCTAGACATGATATGATGGCTGTTAGAACAATTAGGTATGAAACAGAGAAAAATTCCACTTCTGAATGACTTATGTATATGAAATGCGCAATACCTACAAGAACCATACAGAGTATTCCTGCTTTAGTCAGATAAAGTTCTCGAGTTTTAATCCCCTGGTGACTAAATAGTTGTACTCAGTGGAAAAACAAAATTTTATGGTCACAAATGGCAGGTAGCTCTTGTCCTGGTCAACTATCTCCAGAGTACCTGATATTTCACAGAAATAACTCCTAGAATATCCATAGCTTGGTACAAATTAATCACAACAGCTTGATGCAGAAGAATGATGATGCTGGTGGTGTCAGCAGCACACATGGATATGTGAAAGGAAGAGTACGTAATTCCAGAGAGGGCCACTCACTGTTCAAGTCCTGTTCTCCCAGGTTCAGAGCAGGGATTGTAAACATTTCATGCCATAGGTGACCTTCACAGTCTGCTACTAACTGGTAATTTAAATGTGTAAAATAAGCTATAACATATTACAAAGGAAAATATAACACATAGAAATAGGGATATCAAGAGATTTTTAAAACGGAGCATAAGTAGATTGTATCAATTCATTCTCTAATGTTGTTTCACTATGGGTTTATTTAATTTCATACTTGTAATTAGAATACATAATATTTCAACATTTCTTCATTAGGAACAATAATAGAAATGAGAATGTATTGGGATTTTAATTTGTCAAAAAAATTCACCAATCGTCAAAAATCACTGTGATTGTTAGTGATCATATTAGTTGATGAGAATGTTAAATTGCAATTAGAAGAAAAACTATTATCTGGATGTACAAGTTCTTGCCTCTGAATTTAAAAACTAGATATATCTATCTGCACCACTTATAAATTTTCATAGTTAAACTTTAATCTAGGAAAGCACATAAGATCCAATATGAAATATTTGCTTTCATTTTAAGTTGATTTCTAAACACAAGTCTTTTTTTAACTTTTATTTAATTAATATAAATTTCCAAAGTACAGCTTATGGATTACAATGCCCCCCCCATAACTTCCCTCCCACCTGCTCTCTCTCCCATCTCCTGCTCCCTCTCCCATTCCATTTGCTTCAAGATTCATTTTCAATTATCTTTATATACAGAAGATCAATTTAGTACACATTAAGGAAAGATTTCATCAGTTTGCACCCACACAGAAACATAACATGTAAAATACTGTTTGAGCATTAGTTATAGCATTAATTCACATTGAACAATACATTAAGAACAGAGATCCAACATGGGGAGTAAGTGTGCAGTGACACCTGTTGTTAACAAATTGCCACTCTTGTTTATGGCATCAGAAATCTCCCTAGGCTCTTGTCATGAGTTGCCAAGGCTATGGAAGCCTTTTGTGTTCGCCGACTCCGATCTTATTTCGACAGGGTCATAGTCAAAGTGGAAGTTCTCTCCTCCCTTCAGAGAAAGGTACCTCCTTTGATGGCCCGTTCTTTCCACTGGGATATCACTTGCAAAGATCTTTCATTTAGGTCCATTTAGGTCCTTTTTTTTTTTTTTTATTTTCCAGAATGTCTTGGCTTTCCATGCCTAAAATACTCTCATGGGCTCTTCAGCCAGATCCCAATGCTTAAGGGCTGATTCTGAGGCCAGAGTGCTGTTTAGGACATCTGCCATTCTATAAGACTCTGTAGACACAAGTCTTTTAACAAATGGATAAACAAAATCAATGAATGAAAACCTAATCAATTTTAATAAAAAAAAACCCTAGTATTAAAATATAGCAATTGTTTCTCCTAATGTTTAGAGATGTTCTAAATGTTAACTGAGATTAAATCTTTCCTTAAATTTAAACTTTTTGATTACTGTGTTGAAAATAAATTTTCTTTACAAAATCTGAATTTGGGGTTTCCTCATTCACAACCTGACCATCTGGAGATTTCTGATGAAAATTTATTAAAAACAGAAAGCATTATCAGTTTCTTAAAATTGAGAGAGGGGGAAGAATCCCAAGGAGACAAAGCATATGTATAACATATGAACCATGTATTGTTTTACTTGAGTAGCATATTGTTTGTTAAATAATATTTGAAATTGGATAGCTGTTCCATTCAGGTTGCTTTTGAGAACATTCAGTATGCAATAAATATAATGTAATGTAATAATTATATATTTAATTACAAAGTATGTGAGAGCTTATCTTAGTTTGTTTGTGCTGCTTTAGAAAAAAAAAAACTACTATATACTGGATGGCTGATAAACACTGGACATCTATTTCACTCTGTTCTATAGGCTGCAATGTTTATGTTTGGTGAGGATCCACTTCCTCATATACAACATTTTGTTACTGTGTTCTCCCATGGTTGAAAGAGGAGCAAAGGAGCCATCTGGGGGCTCTTGTTTACCATGAATAATCCTATTAATGAAGCCTTTGGCTTCATAACCTGTCACCTCCCTCCCAAAGGCCATATGTTTTAATATGACCAACTTGAGGGATAGGCTTTCAAACATGAGTCTTGGGATCACACACTCAGATGATAGTGGGTATTTCATCAGTACTGTGGAATGAGAAGGCAAGGAAGAGAAAAAATGAGTTTAATATTTTAGTTGAGTTATAACTGCTTTTCTATGTCTTTTAAAGCATGTTTTATTAGCAATTCACTCAACTAACTTTGTTTTTTTCTTTTTTCTGCTAATTGTATTTAAAGACTATTATCTCTTCTTACTGTATGCAATAAAGACAATGGCAATAATTCATTGCAGTGTTCATTGAAGTATACACACAGTTTGAAGAAAAGGCACCAAGCAATTAATTAGGCCTCTCTGAACTCTCATTGTCTCATTTATGTTTTTAAATGACTCTATAAAGCAATTCTTTCTGTGATGATACTAGTTAAGGTTAATCTCCATGTAGATCATGGAAACTGACAGTCCAAAAAGAGATTATCACACATAATGTTTAAACTCTGATTTCCTTTTTTTATTTTCAGGCCGAACAGGACAATGGCCATCCTCTTCCCGCCTTTGCCAGTCTGCATATTGAAATACTCGATGAAAACAATCAGAGCCCATACTTCACGATGCCCAGTTATCAAGGTTATATCCTGGAATCTGCCCCAGTGGGAGCAACCATTTCTGACAGTCTAAATTTGACCAGTCCTCTAAGAATTGTAGCTCTGGACAAAGACATAGAAGATGTAAGTAAAACATAGGCTTTGGTGTTGTTTGTTAGCATACCCTTCATATATAAGTAAATAAGGAATATTTCAAGGGTAACAGCTAATTGTTAAAGGAATAATTTGCTAATGTTACACAGCATAGCAGGGTGACTACAGTTCATAATAGTCATACATTTTATAAGCAAAAATAAGAAAAGAGCTCCAAGACTTCAATCATAAAGTAATATCAAAAAAGAGAATATTAATTACCAGTACACAATGTATACTTGTATTGAAATGTTTCTCTGTATCGTAAGTATGCGCATCTAAAAAACATGTGGTTATGTGAACTGCAGGACAGATAAACAAATCTTAGTATTATGATTTGAGACCATAGCAAGGGTATTTTAAAAGTATATTTAAATTTAAAAACTAAATGAGTATAAAATTAATGAAGACAGCTCTAGATGTAATTTTGGAGACTTTTTCTCTATTGTGATGGTACATTATGAAAAAACGGATGTGTAGGCAGCTGTGGGAGTAGCTGATGCACTCATACTTCTAACAGTGCCTATGTTGTTGACAACGCTTCTTCCCATGTATTGCTTTCCCTGATTTTGTGTGGTACTGAGCCTGTCTATATGAGTGGGAAATTGTTCAGATTGGACACATAGAGTATTGTACTTCCTTTGCCAAAGTGGTTGGAATAAAGATTGTACAGAAAATCTATAACAGGCCAACCAAGGTCCTCCCAGGAATTGACAAGGAGGGAATAAGAGTGGAAAAACATCAGCACTATGTATTAGGGCAGTGGAAATGAATCTGAAATTTCTCCAGCCAAATGCACTGACATCGTGGAGAAAGTCCACTGTCGGTAAAAGAGAAGGAAGTTTCACAAGCACTTGCAGAGAGGACAGTGCTACTGTGTCCCTGGTTTATGAGTTACAAGATCTCCAGAGCCATCTCAGTTCCTAAGGATTTCCTTCTGATTTTATGGACTGTCAGAGGATTGCATTATCACTTCACGTGATGGAAGAAGCATTCTGTAGCTCTGCAATCAGGTGTGGTAGCCACTGGCCATATGTGTAGCTTAATGTGACTAAATTTACAAAAATAATTTTTAAATTTTGCTTTTTTTAAAGGAAATATTATTTAATCTCTTAATAGAAAGTGAGAGAATAACAGTGAGAGCAAGAGGTAGGTGGGGGAGGGAGAAAGGGAGGGAGGGAGAAATTTCATATCTCCCCAAATACCCTCAGCAGCTGGCACTGGGCCATGACAAAACGAAGAGCCATGAACTCAATCCCCTTCTCTCATGTAGGTGGCAGGAACCCAGTGATTAAGCCATCACCACTGTATTGACAGGAAGCTAGAGTCAGGACCTGGAGGTGGGAATCAAACTCAAGCATTCAGATGTGGGATGCAGACATCCTAACCAATGGCTGAACTGCTAGGTCAAATACTTGCCTCATATTTATGTTTAATTTGAACAAATGAAAATATACTCAAATATTGCTATTTGGACGAAAGGGCTCTAGATTGTCTCCTAAAATCACATTACACAGTTACACCATCACTCTAGCTAACAAAGAAGGCAGACTTTATTATTATTATTTGACTCTTTCTAAAGAAATTTTGTGACTCTCACCAGAGCTATGACAACTCTTGTAGACAATTCTGCCTCTTTCCACCAGATGTTTTATTTTGCTCTCCGTATATCCCTCTGTTCTCTCTTATATTCTACTTATTTATCCTTCTTAATCTCTCCCATGTTCTTTCATCTCTTCTCAAATCACAAGTTTTAATTATAGCTATGTGTTGTATTCTTAGTGCATGCCAGACAATATAGTAATTAGGTTATTTTCCATGAACTAACTCCCTTGAATCTCTCAGGAGTTCCCTCATTTGTTAATCTTTTCCAGATATTCATTGTTCAAGTTAAGTCGCATGCTGCTTTTCCATGCATTTCTCCTATGCTGCACTTCCATGTTTGTCCTATGTGTCATTCTCCCTCATGGAATTTAATTTCTTGAGGATAGGTCTTATATCTTCATAACATATATGCTGTAGATCTAACACAGTTCCCTGCACTTACTGTGTTTTAGTAATTTTTCAGTGAACTAATAAATTGGGACATATTGAAGAAATGAGAATAGCTAATGTATGCTTCAAAAATTCTAATGATAATGAATTAAATGATTGACAATATGGCTCATTCCATGGTTGGATAACCCTAATTCTTAAGAAACTTTTCATCATATTGAGTTGAAACCAGCAGTCTTGTAATTTGCCTTTTGTTACTCAAATCTTCCATTTGTAAAAACAGAGAATAAATGTATGAAATAGTCATTAATATGCCTGAAGATAGGCTTATGTCTTCTGAATCATCTCCTTTTCTGAGTCAAATAATCCTTATTTTTTTAAAGTAGTTCATTGCTTTTTTTTTTTAAATACAGCGAGACCAAGGTAGAGATATAAATGGAGAGAAATCTTCGATCCACTAATTCTATTCCCAAAAACCTACAACAGCCAAGAGTAGGCTGGCCCCAAACCAGGAGCCCAAAATTCAGTCTAGGTCTCTCATGTAGATGGCAGGAACTTGAGTGTTTGTCCCATTGTCTGCTACTTCCCAGGGTAGCAGGAAGCTGGATCAAAGTAGAGTAGCTGGCACTTGAAAGCTGGCACTCTGATATGGGTGTGGTTAGCCCAATTGGTAACTTAAGTGCTATACCAATTGTCTGCCCTCATTGATAGGAGTTTTACAGATGAGTATTTCAGGACATTTTTAGTTTACAGGCTAGATTTTTACTATATGATAAAAATCATGTTGTTTATAGTCACCATGGAGGTAACCAGATTAAAAAGAGATAATGATGTATCAGTTCATACAGCTGTAACCTGTAGAAATAGAGACTAAAAGACCGGAGCTGTGGCATAGCAGATCCCATATGGGCTCCAGTTTAAGACCCGGCTAATCCACTTCCAGGCTAGGTCTCTGCTATGGCCTGATAGGCAGTAGAAGATGACCCAAGTCCTTGGGCCCCTGCCCCCATGTTGGAGACCTGGAAGAAGCTCCTAGGTTTGGATCAGTCCAGCTCCAACAATTGTGGCCATTTGGGGAGTGAACCAGTAGATGGAAGACCCTCCTCGCTCTCTGCCTCTCTATAACTCTGCCTTTCAAATACATAAATTAATCTTTAAAAAAAAGAAAGAAGTGGAAATTAAGCCCCATACAGAAAAGAAAAGTTGCTGCTGTAGGGATGAGTTCCTATTGGTTGCTTCAAGAAAAACAGAGGCAGATCCATTTATCTAAAAATTAAATTGTGTTTGCTCCTTCAGTTAGGTGGAAAGTGAATCCAAATTTAACAAATTGTAACATAGACAGGAGAGTTGTGAGGTGATTCCCAATGTAGAATTAGAGCAAGGAAGTATCCTAAGTATCACAGTGAAACTGATAACCAAAGGAAATGAAAATATTTGTACTTAAGGTTACTTTTAATAGAGACATGAATATATACACATTTACTTTCATTTATGTTATACTTACGTACTTTATGAAGTACTTGAACCACAGGTAATGTTAATGTAATGCACAGCACAAGAATAGGTTATGCTCAAGGGTTTTAAGGGGCATGTCTGAGGTCATCAGGTTTGGAGGTCAAAGCAACTAAAAACTGATGATTCAATTCTGATTATTAAAAAACAAGACACAAAAATCAACCAAGTTTATACATTTTGCTTTTAAAAAGTCTGATTCACTTATAATTCCATGTCCATGGGTTTCCCTATTATTGTTTCAAGATATTATTGAGATTTAATTATTTAGATATAATTAATGATATTTAATTCAATATACTTTTGATGGTTTTATATGCTTATATGCTCTATAAATATAATTATTTCATCACTATACTGAGATAGACATTAGAATATACAGTTTGGAATATTTGTTAGAATAAATGTACTGGAATTTTTCCATTTATACTAGTGTATATTTGTGTGCCATTGTGTCTGTTTTGATCATTTATATTCACAATGTTTATCTCATGTTTAATTTGCATACAGGTTCCACCTGGTGGAGTTCCTGTAGGTACTAGGTGTTTGTTTTGTGATTGTTCTTTTTTTATTGCTGTGGTTTTATTTTCCTTTGCTCTTGTTCATATCTTTATAAATACACTGACTTATAAAGATATTTCATTTCACTTATGAAGATATTCATAAGTTTAAAAATATATTGATACATTTATATCATATTATTGACTATAGTAGTGTGATTTTTTTAGAATCCAAACTATGCTGTTGACTTAAATATAGTCTTTAATTATTAATGCTTGTTTCAAAGTCCATGACAAATATTACTGAATCGATGTGATTTTCTAAAAGACTCATATTTTGAGTTGTACTTAAGACAAATATGCAAATTTATTAAAATTGTAAGATTAGAATTTTTGTAATTTTCCTGTTATACTTTGACATTTAAATTTACATAATTAAATATGCATGCATATATATGCACATATATACATATATGTTTTATATTTATGTATATATGAGCATGCGTATAATTTTTGTGTGGATACGTGTGTGATATTATATTTTCGTTCCCATGACAAAACTCATAGTGATTCAAATACAGTAGACTGTTAAATTTGAATGTAGTTTTAAATGATAGGATCCATTTGTTTATTTTACATTTATATATTTCTTTTTCATTGTGTGTACATTTTCTATTGTATTCATATTTTCTGTCCTTACATATGAATATAGTGTTTATTTTACTCTCCCAAAAATCAAGTATAAATACAGTAAAATATATTCATGCAACTCTTACATGGTCAAAAGTAATAGATATATATAAATGTTGACTGAACTCTATGGATATAGAATTCAAATTTTTTGTTAAATCCAAAGTATATATCAAGATGCAGCTTGATGAAGAAAGAGTTTGTTTGGAAATAAATTGATGTAAGGCTGTGCATATGTACATTGTTGCATACTTTTGTATTATTCCTTACCAAAAATTTGATAAGCATGGGCTTGTTGCTTACCATGAGCAACAAAATCTTTAGCTATAGACACACTTAATAAAAACAGTAAGTATGTTGGTGCTCATATGTATCCATTGAAATATAAAAAAATTCAGAAAATGATATGGTATACTTTTGGAACAGTCATACTTTAGCACATTTAAAACTTGTATCATCCTCACAATTAAATCCAAAATATTATGTTTTGAGTAATAGTTGGCTAAACATTGCCAAATCTATCTTATTAAATTACTATACTTAAAATATTAGAATATTAATTAACTGTCAAATAAAAAATTATAAAAAATCTATGAATGAATATACTTATATGTCATGAATCATGAATAAATAGGTGTGAATGAATTTAATAAACTTACTAACACAGACTACAGTTGAATGAAGGAAAAGAAGTCGAGAGAATTAAGTTATAAAGGATGTAGAGAGAGACAGAAGAATTTGAACAAAAGAAAGTAAATGTCCGGTAAACAAGTTATATAGCAAATTCTGCTCACTTGTATTATTAGGGCCGAAAGACAGGAGTCAAAGTTTATTAGATGGTACCATTGTTGGTATAGCAAGAAGGAAAAAATATAAATGAATTTAAAAGTTCAGTGATTAGATAAAATGAAAGATGAAGACTAAAAAAAGGGCAGAAGGCTACTGTTCTAGGTTTTTTATTCAAACTGCATGTCATCTTACATTTTTGATTAGCACTAGAGTAATTAAATTTCATCACAATTGACGCTAAAAGGTAACAGACTAAAAAAAATCTGTCAAAAATGTGGTTCAAAATATGTTTATATGCATTTTTATATTTTACTTTTGTAAATAAATAATGAAATATTTAATATTTACACAGGTAAAGTTAATTAATGGAAATATGCCACTCTAACTATATCAGTTGTTGGATTTAAAATGCAGAAATGAGACAACTGAAATATCTGTTAGAAGATAAAAGTCTCTTCACTTACATCTTTTAATATATTTGATTATTTTGTAATGAAAACAACTGATTAGAATTATTATCCATACTATTTTTTTAATGCAGAACAAAGGTAGAACATGGACATTAAATAAAAATCATGGACATAATGCTACCACAAAATGAGATTTATGAATACATAATTAGTTTCAGATTCAAATGAAGTCTTCATTTTAAAGTTTTGAAATATATATGTATTACAGCCTTCAAACTTTGTACAGAACAAAGTTTATTGTGGATTGAATCATCCTCATTTTTTATAGTATCACACATTACAATTACTTATCCTCTGTAGAAATTTTCAGTTATGCAATCATTGTTTCTTTCCCGATAAGTATGTTTATCAGTTCCCTACCCTCTGCTTTTAACATTTGGTGTCAAACTTAAAATTGCTTTATGTTATTACATTGCAGTTTACATCCTATTATGTTTAATGCTTTAAAAATTACCCTGAGGCATAAGAACAACTTACTTCACATTTGATCCTTTTTTCTCCTTTGCATGGCCTTCCTGATAGTCTACTTGCTCTCAATATTCCACATTTATTTGCCCCACTTGTCTTCCTTTTCCACCATAAGACACCAAAGTGTCCCCAGTTTATGTCTTTGCTCTTAGGAATCACAGAGACTAATATCTAATCTTTAGGGGTGGAAATAAAACTGTGAAGGGCTTCTTCTGCTAATTATTTCTCAGTCTTGAGCTTTTAAGATAAATCTCTTCCTCTTTAAGTATATGTAACTTTTTCCAGACTCTTATCAGGCATATGTGTCAAAATCATATATTTTCAAGCAGATCATCTGAAATATTTGAACTTAAATAAATATTATGTTTCCTTTGGAAAATATTTACAATGTTAATATAAGACCAAGAAAGAAAGATATTTATAGGTAATGAATAATGCATAACCAATTTTATTTCTATTTTATATTATAGGTGAGAACAAGGTAGTAATATGCATATATGTACAGTTTATTACTACAAATGAAGTGATTGTAAAGTCTTATAGCTAAAATTTGTGCCCCAGTTTCCTTTTCTTGCATTAATTTTTTATTCCTTGAATCCAATGTAGTTCTGAAAAATAAGATACTAAGTAATCAGTAAGGACATATTCAATTGAGTTTTCTTTTCTTCTTCCTATCAGTTTTTCCCTCCTTTATCACATTAATTATTTGAGCATTTACTCTCGTATGGTAAATTCCACGGTACAGGTCACTGTCTTTTAGGTAGTTTATCTTGTAAAGAGTAAATACCTAGTGAATTCTTGTTTTTCTCTAGAAATGCTTAATATGATGACCTGCACTTTGTAATGGATTTCAAAATTTAATGTTCACATTATTTATCCACCATTTGAAATCCTGTCATTTTCTTTCACAGACGAAAGACCCAGAGCTCCACCTTTTTCTGAATGATTACACCTCCGTGTTCACGGTTACACAGACGGGCATCACTCGCTACCTCACCTTACTTCAGCCAGTGGACAGGGAAGAGCAGCAGACGTACACCTTTTCGGTAAAGAGAATTCATAGATGGGGATAAATGTAATTCAAAGACGTGTCTGTGTCGAGCTGAAAAGTCCATTGATCTGAGGAGAATGACACACTCTTTCCAAGAATGACTAGCAAGAATACCCACAACCAGAAGCTTTTTACATGTATTTTTCCTTTCTGATAAGTTTTTTGTAGCGGAGGTAATACTGTTTTTCATATTAAAAATACTTTTCAGGGTCAAAAAATAGATTAGAATTTCAGTCTTTATCTTATGTCTGTAGCTGGCTTTAACTGAAATAAACAGTAGAATTCACAAAATAAAAAAAAAATTTTCCTTAATGTTTATTGTTGTTAGAAATTAAATTTTGTGACAGGGTCAGGCCATTGGTTCTTAACGGAATGATTTAACATTTCTCTTTAGGGCACATTTGCACTATCTACAGGCATTCTGGTTGTCAGACATGTGAGGCATACTACTAGCATCTGATGTGTAAACATAAAGTAAACACAATATACAGAGGAGCTTCTCCCTGACCCCCAACAACAAAGCTTTATCTGATTGAAATGAGATGGGTGAAGATTTTTCTAAATTTTTATTTATTTCTTTGAAAGGCAGAGAAAGAGAGACACAAAGATACTGATTTTCCATCATTGGCTCACTCCCCAAATGTTTACAGTATCAAAGGTTGTGCCTGGAGAAAGATAGGAGACAGAAATCCTTGTCAAGTTGGCTGGAGTGCAATTAGTTGAGCCAACATCGGCATCTCCCGGGGTGCACGAAAGCAGGAAGGTGGATCAGAAGAAAAATGGAAATGGATACCAGGTCCAGCAACATGGGATGCAAGCATTCCATGTGTGGCAGCGTATTCCACTGTGTCCCAATGCCATCCCAAGAGTGAGAAATTTTGAGTTAGGCTACTTAAGGAGGGAAAAGTGAAGTTTGTTGAAGTTCTGATTGTATTTATTATAAGGTTTATAAGGGTAGAAAGTAAATATAGAAAAAGTAATTTTTTATTTGATTATTTTAAATGTTTCTAAATTTTTGAATGAGATATGAGAAAGATGCACTGACAGAAAAGCACAAGTTACAGGACTGATAGAGAAATCTGTTCTAGAGAAGCCTACACAGCAAAAGACCAGAGCACTCACAAAGCCGTAAATGCTAAAAATAAAAAATTTGGATACAGAGTGGATTTCAGCTGTCATTCATATAGAACTATGGTTTCATTGAACTGATTCTTTGTCAGACGTATTTAAAATGTTGATAATGTGATTAAATAGCACATTAATTAAATTAATACTTATTAACTAATGCCAATGAGTCCTTTACAAATGTCATTTTATGAATTACTAGAATAAGAGATTACATATCCAGGATGCCTACTTTCTTAAGTTGTGTAAGCACAGTCACTGTAAAAAAACACTTATTCTATTGTATACAAAATATATAAACTTAAGAATATTTTTGAATTGATTGTTAAGGATTAGGTAATAACGCTTAAGAATTAGCAGTGGTATTGACCCACTTAAAGTCTGTTAAAGGTGTTTTGCATATCTATTGAAAATGTGCTCGGTGTTGGATGTATTAAAATAGAATTCTCAATCATTATTTCTTAGTGCATTAAAATGTTTCTGAATATATGTGGTATATTGTCATTACTCCTTTTATAGACAAAACATCCTAGCACTCTTATGAAATTGTAAATTACATAGAAGACATCTGTTAAATTTTAAGAGTGGCTTGTGTACTGCTTATAATTGCCTGGTTTCTGTACTAAGTGTGTTTTTCTACCCTAAAAGATAACAGCATTTGATGGCGTACAGGAAAGCGAGCCAGTTGTCATCAATATTCGAGTGATGGATGCAAATGATAACACTCCAACCTTCCCTGAAATATCTTATGATGTCTATGTTTACACAGATATGAGCCCTGGGGACAGTGTCATCCAGGTAACTACCACATAATATGAGAATATTCAAATTATTTCCATGGCACCACAAAATGTGCTGCTTAAGGAATTAAGAAATAAAAATGCATTTTTGAATCATTGTATGGAATAATTTAAACTGCTTTAAAATTAAGTTCAGTTTTCAAGTGAAAGTGTATATGAATGCTAAAGTTGACTATTATTAACTATAAATAAGCTATTTACCCCAGGCATACTTTTAAAATAATTTTAATATTTAGTATATTGGATATATTAATCATATTGAGCATGCATTTTAAAGCTTCTAATTACTTGGTGCTATTGCGGAAATGGTTTTGTTACCTTGTTAAGCAACACAAAAACTGCATTAATAAAATAGTGGTCACTCCCATTACTTGGTTACCTGAAGAAAATGTAGTATTTCCAATAGGGAAAAACATACACATGAGGCTGAAATTTATCCTTAATTAGTCTAAATTTTGATCATTATCTGTACCTATTACATTGAAAAACATTATAAACTACCTGCATTTTTTGTGTGTTCTGGCAATTCTGAGTAAAAATCTCCAAGATGTAGTAATATTTTTCCTTGAGGATATATGGGATTATGAAAAGCAGTTGACTCCATTATTTTCCAAATTGGTTATGCAAGCACTACTAAGGGAGCTGTTAGGAAATATACTACCAAGTTTGAATTTGTCTTTTTTGACATCTGAGTTACCCTAAGCAATACTTGCATAACCAGTATGGAAAGCAAACCCCAAGGGTTTCAGATACCAGCTACATGGAGACCTGATGTAGGTTTTTCTCTAACCCTGAGAGTCACACCTAGTATTTTCTTACTCTCTTGTCAGGAAAGCCAGGATATTCTATAGTTGTTTTTTTAGAATATTTGAATAACAACAGATTACTCTTAATGACTGATATGTACTACATACTGAAATTCTTAACCAATGATATTTATTTCATTAGGTAAATAGTGCAGGGCATTAGAAAAGCAGTTCCGATCCTTCAGCACTGTACTTGGCCTTGCCCTTGTTTTTTTCTCCAGCTCTATCGTGGATCCTCTGTCCTTGTCTTCTGCTTTTGTCCCACTGAGCTACCTCAGGTTACCTGAATGTGTGTCTTTTTCTGTTTCATGTATTTGAATTATTTCCTCTGCCTCAGTATTTCTCCTCTGGTTTTTTTTTTTTTTTTTTTTTTTTTTTTTTTTTTTTTAATTTTTTTGAATTCCTTTCCTACTTTGGAAGCTCCCCTTAGTGGTAGCTCAGCAGTATCACAGCAGTTTGTAGGCCAAACACTGAAAGAGGAAATGTCACTAAGATATGGGTGTCAACAGCCAGCCAGCACATTCACACACCCAGGTGCACACACCACATGCAAATATACAGGCACCATTTCCCTATACCAAATTTCCTCTCGGCCCCTGTGACTATCCAAAATTACCTTAATTTCCTCACCCCCAAACTAAAAGCTCCAAGAAATTGGCACTTCTCTGTATCTGTCTCATTTGTTACTGTAATATTAGCACATGTCAGATATATTAGCCATGCAGAAAATATGTATTCAATGGCAAGTTATTACCTAGCCTATATCATTTGCAAATGTCAGATATGACTCAATGCTATTCGTGTTTAATTTGTAAAATAAAATATGCCTTTTGAAATTTTCCAGAAAGGCATAACATGATAGCATGTAAGCTGTGCAGTCACCCGAATATTCATCCCATGTGTGAATATACTCTGCAGTGATCTGGGGAACAGTTTCAAACATCTACCATAAATATTAGTCAGACATTAGTATTACATTTGTCACATATATCAAATTAATTTCATTATCCACTTTTTGAGGCTAGAACTATAATTACATTATTTCTAGTTTCATAGTATCTGCATCCATTTACATTCTGTCATGTTAAATAGTTACTACAGTAGATGCTTAAGAAACTCTGGAAGATGAAAGAAAGGTTGACTTACAGTCCAGTAAGTATGAATGAGTGAATGTATTCATGAAAGATAAGTTGTGAATGTATTGGCTTTTATTTCTAGTCAATTGATGGAGCAAAAGAGCTACATTTTTCTTGAATGGGGCACTTTTTCATAGGTAATAATATTATAGTTTATACAAAGGAATGACAGTTATTGTCATGTCTTTTCATCTCTGCATGACTTACTTGTAAATGAAAGTCATCTGATACAGAAAAACAACCAGCAGAAAACTGGAAAGTGTAACCAAGAAAACAACAAAAATTATGTGGTAGAATGGCAGCACAAATATTTCTGCCCTGGGGGATTCAAAGCTTATTTTTGGTATCGGAAGGCTACAAGTTAATTTTCTTTTTATATGTTTATCAAACAGATCTTTCCTTGCCGTTAAAGATTTATACTTTATGTATTTCTCTGACTCATGCAGATTATGAAGATTTGCTTTTGTTTTGTGTCTGTGTTCCAGCATTTTAAAATTATTTAAATGCCAAGCAGGGAAGTCTTATAATTAGTATTTTTAATGTTATTCCTAGTATGTGGTAGAAGAATGCTATGGCTCTAAAACATCCTCCAAGAGCCTACAAACAAAATGAAATAGATTTTTCCCTGCGAGAAAAAAGAATTCATGAAAATGATTCAGAATTGTGATCTGCAAATGGCCACTCAGTTATGACGTAGGCTCTGGGAGACCACTCACCTTCAACCCCTCATCAGCTCAGCCTTTCTCCTTGACCTGATAGATGGTCAGTCAGTTTGCTTTTGATTTATTAACCTGATATCACACAGAATGAAAGCCTTAGAGTAAAGGTGACAGTGAGCTGTCCTCAGAAATGAGAGCATTGGATAACAGGTTTTCATGATTGTAAAATGTCACTTTTGTAATAAAGCCAGAAGAGTATTTTGGTCTGATAAGTGCACACTCATTACTTTGAGTACACTGTCGTCGTCTTATAAAATAACTATCCTCGCCTAGAAACAGAAAGGTTTGTCATGAGGATGTAACTGGTTCCTTCTAAAAGTTTCCATTTATAAAGTGGGTTCTGACTATTGTGTATATTTCTCATGCTTGTTCATTGTGAAAAGTATTAGAGTGCTATGGGTGATAAACCAAACGTCGTTTGCCTTTGATCCGCACCTTCACCTTCCATAACCACCTGAAGTTTAAGCAGGTTATGAGTACATCTTACGCTTTAGAGTTTGCTAAAGTGTGAAGCATCCATTTAGACCTTTAAGCTATGAAAGCATCAGGTCAGAGACTGTGGAGCTGTGTTTGCATCCCCTCTCCTTCACCTGCATTCATCCATTTTATTGTTTGTGTAATTTCCATATCAAAATGTATATGTCAGTCATCATTTTTATTTTCATTTAGTGCCTTCTGCAGCAATTTTAGGTTCACAGTAACACTGAGAGGAATTATGATTTTTTCCCATATATCTCAGCCTCCTACACATACATAGATCCTCCCATTCCCCCAGCCAAACTCCATTCATTACAACTGATGAACTTCATTGTCACATTATAATCACCCAAGTCTATGGTTCACATGAAGGCTCACTGCTGATGTTGTACATTCTAGTTTTGTACTCACGCATAGGCACATGTGTCTTTGGCTATAGCATCATAGAGAGTTGTTTCACTGCAATAAATATCCTCTGTGCTCTGGTGATTCATCCCTTCTGCCACTACCTCCTCTCAGCAGCCACTGATCTTTTTGCTGTCACCATAGAATTGTGTTTTTGTCATATAGTAGGAATCATACAGTACGTAGCATTTCCAATTGACTTTTTTTTTCCAACTCAATATATGCTTTTAAGGTTCTTCCATATTTTTTCTTTTTTTTCAGCATTTTTTTTATTTTCACTTGTTTTAATGAATATAAATTTCCAAAGTACAGAATATGGATTACAATGGCTTCCCCCCCATAACGTCCCTCCCACCCATAACCCTCCCCTTTCCCACTCCCTCTCCCCTTCATTCACATCTTTAGTCATTTTCATTTCTCTTTATTACAGAAGATCAGTTTAGCATACATTAAGTAAAGATTTCAACAGTTTTGCTCCCACACAGAAACATAAAGTGAAAAAATACTGTTTGAGTACTCGTTATAGCATTAAATCTCAATGTACAGCACACTAAGGGACAAAGATCCTACATGAGGAGTAAGGGCACAAGTGACTCCTGTTGTTGACTTAACAAAATTGGCACTCTTGTTTATGGGATCAAGTAATCACCCCTAGCTCTTTGTCATGAGTTGCCAAAGGTTATGGGAAGCTCCCTGGAGATCACTGACTCTGATAATTTTTAGACAAGGGCATGGGGCAAAGGGGGAAGTTCTTTTCCTCCCCTACAGAGAAAGGTACCTCCTTCTTTGATGACCCATTCTTTCCACTGGGATCTCTCTCGCGGAGATCTTTCATTTAGGTTTTTTTTTTTTTTTTTTTTTTTTTTTTTTTTCCCAGAGTGGGCTGATTCTGAGGCCAGAGTGCTGTTTAGGACATCTGCCATTCTAGTTTTAGCAATGACTAATACTCCATTTGCTCTACAGCAGTTTTTCAGTTCTATTGAAAAACATATTGGTTCTTTCCAAGGTGGGATCATTATAAATAAAGCTATTGTAACATCTAAGTCCAGGCTTTTTTGAACATAAGTTTTCAAATCCCTTTGTTAAATATCAGGGAGTGAAACTGCATCGTGTTGTAAGAATTTGTTTAATTTTGTAAAAACTACCTGGCTCTCTCCTAAAGTGGCTGTTTGGTTTCCATTCCAGCCATCAGTTCTTCATGGTGATTTTGAAACTGAATCAGGACAAACCCCAGACCCATAATCTCTTGGTAAACCACAGTGAGGATTCATATTTCACAGACAGAATCAAGAGCATATAACCTTTCCAAATATTTTTGTCTTTTCTCCTGGTACATGCCTCCATATAATCAACCTGTATTCAGGAACAGAGCTGTAACACGAATCCAGGAACTCCAATAATGGATGTGGATGTCCCAAATGGGATCTTTGCTGTGCCAAATACCCAGCCCTGTCG